ATCATGTGTGTTTATTTACTAGATATTTAATTTAATTTGATGCAGTTTCAGCTGTATTGATTCGGTCAGGTTGTGTGCCCAAACGCGTGCCAAACGCGCTCATCAGATCAGATATAGATCAGAATATATCTATATAGATCTAAATATATGTGCTGACTCAGATTAATAGTTGATGATGATTATTTATTGCACTGAAATGTGCCTGACACTGTGGAAACCTGCCGGTGAGGCATCAGTGACGTATGTCGATACGCCGCCGGTCTACCAAAATACTACTAGACCAGCTGCGTTCCGCCTTGCGCTGAAAGCTGACCAGGTTTGAATCGGCGAGCTTTCAGCGCACGTTGCATGCCGGTGGCAAGCACGAAAATGTCACTGCGCCAGCTGATTCTGTCAACACCTCCCCCTGCCACGCCACCACGCCCAGCTTGGCGGATCTCGGCTCGCCTCCGTGCGACTCAGTCCACGAAAATACCAAACTCGCCTTACGCCGGGCTCCGCCAGACGAAAATACAACTGCGCGGGGCTCCCTGCCCTCCGCCGCCTCACCGGCGCGAACGAAAATAGAGCCCTAAATGTATGCTGGCTCACAGCAATGAGTTTAAGATGTTTAGGTGATACTCTATGTTAATGGCTTCTTAGCAGATGAGTGAACAGTAATCGGTAAAAAAAAGTAAACAGCCAGTCAGTTGCACTTAGTCAAACTCGGCCTTACATCATAGTCCCTGTGTAATCACTTTGAAAGCTCTTGAGGGCTACGAGTAAGAAAACTGTCAAGATCAGAAAATGTAGGTCTGAATGGACCTGAAGCTCCTTCCAGAGGGCAGCAGGGTGAAAAGCGGAGTCTTTTGATATGTTCGACATCTAACAAAGACTTGCGTGTGTGCGTGTGTGTGTGTGTGTGTGTGTGTGTGTGTGTGTGTGTGTGTGTGTGTGTGTTATCACTCTCTGAAGTGCTGTCTTGTCAGCCTTGTACAGATAAAAAGCCACACCGGGAAGAGAGGGTACTTTCAACAGAACAGAGATAGACGGACACCAGCAGCTGCAGCTGGGATAGGTTCCCTCTGTGTAGAGTTCTTGGAAAGTAGAGCCACTGCTGTGTGTCTTCCTCACTAGAGAGGTGGTGTTCACAGTCCAGGAGAGGTCCGAGGAGATGTGTGAGCCCAGAAATTCAGCGACTCTCTCCACCTGGCCCTTTTTTATGCGTAATTCAGCAGTTTTCCCCCTTTTTTCCCCTGAAGTCAATGGCTACTTCTTAAGCCTGTCAGTAAAGACTCATTGTAAAGTGAAGGAGGATACATCTAAGAGGGGCTGATGATCAGACTACAAGGGTGGGCACATGTAGTACTTCTGAATGAATTCATCACCCTACTTTTAATCTACAGGGCACTACAAAACTGTATGCAGCACATATAAACCAACAAAATATCAAATAAAATAAAATAGCACCCCAGAAGATCAATAATTTGGTGTAAACATCTGCATTAATCTTGAACATCTCTTCGTCTTATTTGAAATTAAATGTTTTTGCACAAAAGTAGTAACCAATAAATACTATTAAAATGATAGAAATAATAATGCCAAAAAGTAGAAGGAAAGACTCTAAGACTGCGTAAAAATCTGCCCGAAGCAAATGAATAAATTGAACAATCAAATACACACGGCTAAAATGCACAACCACTCTACCTACCACTGTTCTTCTTTTTTTTCATCCATGACCACACATTCTTGTTACCTCCCTCTGTGTTATATCTAAACAATATAACATACAAGCAGGCCCACACTGGTTAAAAAAATCCACACAAACACACACACACTTAACACACACATGACTACTTTTGTGTCCCATACCTGTCCTAGAGTGTGAAACCCAGGTGATATTACAGGAATTTCTTCCATTCTCCAGTCCCTGGTGCATATGTGCCAGAGAGTGTGTCTGATAGTGCTTGTGTTTCATTCTGTGAGACAGTGGTTAGGGGAAATAGAGGTGTGCCTGTGTGTTTTGTGTGTGTGTACCTGCATGTGTGTGTGTGTGTGTGTGTGTGTGTGTGTGGCTTGTGGCTACCTGAGCAGAAATTGACAAAATTGAAAAATAGGCCCAGCAGCACAGAATGGAAGGGCGGCAAGATGGGGAGCAGAAGCAGCACAGATACAAATGACTGCGCACACACACTCACAGGTGTCCACGTGCGCACTCATGACCATGCATTTACACATACATCAAACAGAGGAGAACACAGGCAAGCTCTTAGAAAGAGAGAAGACATTTTTTCAGACCTATTTTTGCCTTTATTTACAGGACAGCTGAAGAAAAGTGAAAATGTGGAGAGTACAGAGCTGAACCAGGAACCACTTCAACTCAGACTACAAGGGTGGGCACATGTAGTACTCTGAATGATTTATGATGGAGTATGTGTGAAAAACGGGTGCAGCAAGTGGAATTATTCAAATGAAGGTTAGACACAATGTCGTATTTCATTTGGATGTGCAATTTGATTTAAACACTATGCTAAGAGAACTTTTCCCAAAGAACTTTTGAGGAACTGTGTGTGTTTCAATTGCAGTGACTAGGGTCCAAATTTGGTTCTTGGGTAAGATGTACAATTTACACATAGACAGAGAGAAGGATAAACAGGTAGGGGCAACAATACAAGAGCAAATATTTCCAGTAAGCTGTTGTTATTGAATAATTAATACAGCTCATCTGCTACCAATGTTCTTTGTGACAGCTTTTTTGTAAAAAGAAAAATCAGCAGAGACTCAAATAAAGAGCTGTGCAAGTAACTCTGTTTCCAAATATCGTCCCTGGATGTCATTGGCCTAAGTTTCATTTTTTTTATCCAGAACTTTTAGCTCCTTACAGAGAGAGGGAACGAAAAGTTCTTGGTGCTTTTGGCTGAAAAGTATGTATAATTAGTAGAATTAGAGTCCGATCTGAAATGAAGGGAAGCAGGGAAATCTGATCATTTTGTCCCATGGAGAATGTCATCATGAGCAACAGTTACAGCAACACGTAATGCCTCCTCGCTTCCATCACATTAGAGATGTTGAGCACAGAGCGTTCTGCATGCACAGAAGTCATGAGTAGAAACAAAGAAAATTGCAGCCTTGATGCTCAGAAGATTGAATCGAGAGACAGAGACAGTTACTCAGTCCCAGCAATGACTACCCTGCTCTACAGAAGCATCATTGAGGGACAACCACGACAGACCAAATAAGCGAAATGTGAAAAACAGCAGACTCATTTTAGGATGAATAACTGCTGTCACTACAGCCCCTCTTCCTTCCAGTCATCAACAGGTCCATGGCAATAGCCAGTCTGGTACCATCATGTCATCTGTCATATATATTGTTCAAGCCTTGACACAAACCTTATCTGACCAAACCAAAAAGACTGTGTTGTCTGCCTGTAGTATGAGTTTTATCCTAGATGACGGTGCTATTATACTCACAGCTTTGTAATAGACATGCACTCTCATGATGACCAGTGTAATCACCACCACAACCCACTGTGCACCTACTAGGATACACAGCAATACAGACCAGGCAGACTGATTTTCTCCCTATAAGTTATAATCATACACCTAAAGAAAACAAGAAAATAAATCCCGTTGAGTGCTGCTGTGATTGAAAAGACTGTATAACTCGTTCATTGCCAATGATGGATTCGGACGGACTGAGCGCCATTGACGGATTTAGATGGATTTTTCAGTTTTCCGCCAGAGGGCGCTCCTCCTCAACATGCGACTAAATTTGGGGTCATTCTGAACGCAGAAAAGCCATCAAATATGTCATAACCATGTTACATTAACAAAAACAAGTACTCGCCAGTGAGAAGTGTGCCGTTGTTGTGCCGCTGGTGCTAGTACTAGCCGGAATTCAGCAACAGTCCTGATGAGAAGGACGTGAGCAGTCTGTGTGGTTTCCGTTGGGGCATCAGGTTCACGAGAGCTGATACGACTCCCAGTGGTAACAAAGTGACCTACCACAATCTGATCTTGAAAGTGACGAGGAGTGGTGTCCAAGGAGGGAGGACCTTGATGCCACTGGTAAAGTAGTTTGAAGTGAAATGAAACCGACGATCAATTGCATACATGAACCTGGCACTGAATGAGTTAATTCCAGACAAGTTACCAATGGAGAAGAGAAGCAGGACTCCAAGGATGTGGGAAGTGGTCAACAACCAGAACAGCAAATGCAAACTCTGCATGGCAAAAACAGATGGTACTGCAAAGTGCTACACTGCTCTACAGAAACTGCATGCTGTGGATTGTGCTGAATGTAGTCGTGCGGGAGGACAGCATGAACCTATTTTTCCTCTGGGAGAGCCCCAACAACAGACTGCAGCTTTTTCAACTTATATTCCAAGTATCATGGTAATTAAAAATACAAACACAGAACGTCAACTACATGAACAGTGACGTACACATACAGTACATGTGCATATTTTTTATTTCAGTTTGTGCATTTGCTGATAGAAATCAAATAGAATAATCTCAATTATATAACAAATCGATTTTTTTCCCTTAATTTGAAGTATAAGAGCCAGCTTTTCATCTATCCAATCATCATTATTAATCCTGAACAGCAGGCTAAATTTCCATCCAGTTTTAATAAAAATAATTTCTCTGCTAACACAATAACAATCTAACTTCAGAACAATACATGAGATTGAACATGCAACAAATGAGGCAGAGCAATAAACGCACACAATTGCGGAAAGTTAATATAAAATGCTCAGAAGAGGTTCATTTCTGTGACAATAATTATTTTCTACTTTATAATGTTCATCTGAAATTTTTATTCTGTCTGCAGGGTGCAGGGAAGATAAATGCCCTGAAGGAAAATTACAATTTATACTCTACATTGCCAGTTTAGATTCTGCACTACATTTCTTTTTTCTCTATATTCTGTCAAACCTTCACCTTCCTTCTCAGCTGCCCTCATTCACACATCGGAAACACACAAAAAGCTTCACACAGCCAAAGACAATCATGTGCACACACACAGGCACACACACACAGCACACACACACAGACAAAAAGTATTGAAAATAACTGACAATTATAATCAAATAGCCAGGAAGCATATGATTCACATGCACCTTTGAGGGGGATATTTGTGCGCAAATCTGTGTGTGTGTGTGTGTGTGTGTGTGTGGGTGGGTGTAGGTGTGTGTTCGAGTCAATGAATGCTTTATTCAGTGGCTATGATGCTAAAGCTATAATGGTTGTCATCAGTACAGTCAGGCAGGCCTTGACCCCACTGGAAATTATAGACCAGCTGGAGCTATATGTGCTCTCAACTGCTTCATTCAATAAGCACTCTATCATACGCCTCACATATACACACACATAGACACACAAATACACACACACACACACACACACACATCCGCATGGAATTGTTAAGTCTATTCTGTCCTTAATAAAAAACACGCTTTTGTTTTTTTATAAAACCATAAAACACATTGTAACTGTCACACACACACACGTACACACATATATATATATATATATATATATATATATATTCATATATATGTTTATGTATATAGAACAATAGAGGGCTATCGTAGAATCGTATGCACTGAATTTATTCAACCAGAAAAGATCAGGAGCTGCAGTCAAGGCTCGAAGTAAGTCTGCCACTTTTGCAATTTCTGCTTTCTCACCCTGAGAGACTTGTAAAAAAAACTATAAGTCTGATGTGAAATGAAGCCCTGAAGCAATAAGAAATCCCTGTTTGTCAAAATAAATGAATTTTTTGCCTATAATAGTCATATATGTTGATAGGCTCTGCTCGGAGACCTCCCTGTTCTTCCGCTTGTGCATGTGAAATGCTAAAGCCTGTTGCAGGTAGTGCGCGCCTCCCCTCTATATCATCTGCATACATGTTAGGCCAAGGCAGGGAGAGCTGTAGAAAAGGTTTTAGTCGGCTGGACGGACTTCCACTGAGAAGCGAGTGAGTGAATCAGTGAGTGAAGCGTTAGAACGCAGGAGAAAATGTTTCATTAGGACAAGATCAGTAAAGAGATAAAGTGTAATGCTTTGTGCATGGAGGGGCACCAGAATAGATGCAAAAAAGCTCTGCACAGGAGCTTTAAGGTACATTTGAGTAGAAAAGAAAAGAAAAAAACAGCAGTGAAACAACTATCAGCTGATGTATCACTTGTATAATTGACAATTCTTTATTGGGAATATTTTAGTTAACCTAAAAATATATTTTTGTGGGATTAGCAGGTGTTTTAAAGTGGAATAATCCTGAATATGCTGCAGAAAATACAAGAGGTTGATTCTTTGAAGATTTCTACTAATTATGGCAGTAAACATATAAGGCATATCTGTGTTAGCTGGTTTGCTGTGGCTATCTGCTACAACTTGTTTCTACGTTTATATCATCATTTATTATTTTGTATTTAAATGGAAGCTTATACTCTGGCATCCGTCTGTTCATTAACTCAGCCTGTCCTTTATATTCATGCAGGGAACTTACCTCTTGTTAGTGATGATGGGGACCCTCCAGCCTTTAACCTGGCTCAGCTCAGTGTCTGACACGTCTATCTGCAAAGGAAGCTTTGGCACCCAGACGGTGAGCAGCAGCTGAGCAGAGAGGTGAAGGTAGGTGAAGTTTACTGCCAGTGACTGTCGCCCGCGCATCTCTTTACCATTCACCAAAACCTGGTCACAGTTTGGGGAGACCTGGAGAGAGAAAAAGAAGATAGGAGAAAATTAGTCCGAGGGGGAAATCAGGACAGGGTGAATACAGACGGAAGTCAGTGAGTCACAGAATCAGCTGCAGACACTGTTGTGTGGTCCTTAAGCACAGCCTGACGTCTGCTATCATGAGACCATTCAGCCTCTTGCAGCAGATACCTATTTTGTCATCGACCGCTTAAATTTGAACTCATTTTTTAAGATTTTTTGCAAAGTGTAAAGAATGGGTAATCAGATGCTATTATAGATGCTTCTTACCACATTTGAGGATCTTAGATTTGTTATTTCCATGTAACTCAGGTGACTTCTAACAAATCTAAAGGACTGTTTTAAATGTATTATATTGCAAATGACTAAACTGTTTCAATTTTAAAACAATAGAACAATTAATTTCAACACATGAGACTGTCAAGATATCTCTGCATTGAAGAGCAAATAATACGTGACTGGATAAATGAGGGCATCTCTACAATACAACATGTACAGGACGGAGGTTTTGAAACAAACAAAAAGATTTGCAGTCGAAAGATTGAAGGATTGGCCACTTCATTTTTTTAGCACATCAACACTTCATGGCCATAAGTATCAGGATGGACCATGTAAAAAATGAGCCCAGTATGAAGGACGGCAGGCTAAGAGGCTGCCTGTGCAGGTTTCTGAAACTGCTCTGTTTCCTCTGCTGCTCAGAGGATGATCCACAGTCCTCCTTTCCATGATCAATAATTATGTCTTCTTTCATAAAATGACAAATTTGTTCCTGTAAATTCACAAAATATAGTCACACCTTTTATGATCTTGTAAATCTGGGTTATTTATTCTTTTCCAGAACTTGAATCTCATAATACTGAGTTTATTCTTATAATGTTATGCATTTATTATCATTATCTCCTGTTTTTTCATCCTTAAGATCTCCTTGATACTTAAAAAAATTAACAAACATGACAAAAAGGAAATTTCTTTGCAGGTATTCTAGGGTATCTTCATGTTTTTTCTTTTTATTTAACATTTGATAACAATAACAAATGACAGGAAACATCTGTTTACAAAGCAATAATCAGGGGTACACATATCTAATATTAAGTCAATAAACCTTATTTGCACAACCATATATGGCAAATCACTGCATTGTCTTAAGTTCTGATATTTTTCTGCTGTTATAGAGAGAAAAAAGAGTGAAGAACTAAACTCTTTTAAGCACTTCTACCTTCTATAACTAAACTCAGTTACTCATGGTCTAATAAATCACAGATTTCTCTCATGTCTGACGTTTAACACCCAAAATTAATACATATTTTTTATTCAAAACTCTGCACACTCGTCATCTTGAGTAAAAGTTCTTTTGTTTTTCTCTCAGCTTTCATTCACTCTCTTATTCATACAGAATTTTCCCTCAACCTGACCTAAAATCCTGTATTGTCTTTAAAGGCACCGTGATGTGCTAGCTGTTTCGATGATTATGGAAATGCACATATCCACTTTTAGAACCTGTTTTCCCAATTAGACTGAATCTGAGCTGGAATATAAAATGCATGGAGACACTGGATTACTATGGTTGTATTTCACAAAGTGGACAGCAACCCCGCACACAATCCGACAGGCAGAACAATGGAAAACCAGGATTTGAGTCAGTTTCATTTTCACCCTCCGGCTGTGTGACTGATTGAGACGACAGCGTTTGGACAAAACATCCCACGTTGTTTTAGCAACAATGGATTCCTGCAGGAAGAACATGGACCATAAACCGGTGACAGCACATTTTTCAGGGATGTCAGGTGGATGTGATCCTGAACGACATGAACATGAGGACGATTATCGTTGGTCAAGGTTTATTTATTATTTAAAGCATGTCCAACAAAATTACCAACTCTCATATCACCAAAAAGCACTAAATAAAACAAATGCCCAAACAAGTGTTCATGAAACGAGTTTAGTTTAGTTTAGTTTTTTCTCTCCTCCTTCACCAATCACCAGGATACAAAACAGATGCTTTATACAATTAAGACAAAATTTTGCATTCACATTTTTTCATTTAAAGTAGTTTCCAAAAGTTTGATAGAAAAGTTAATTCATTGAGGAAAACAGACTTTTACTTTGATATTTGTTATTTTGAGGGATAAATAACAGAGGCTGTCATTATTGAATGGTGGGCCTTATCTAAACCAGAAAACACTTTAACGCACATTTGAGCGCTGAGATGTCAATCCAGAATCAGAAGAAACTGTTTTCCTTCACTCATATTATAAATACATATTTAAACATTGCATTTAAAAGTGTGGTGATTGCACCTCTTTTGGTTTTATTTGGGAGAGTTCCTAACTGCCTGTTGTGTAGAGTTGTGAGTGTTCATGTGTGTGTGTGTGTGTGTGTTCGCTCTTCACAGAGATTGGGTGGCTCCACCTGCACCTTCACACCTGCACTGAATTACTGCAATCACCACCTGCACTTAAGCTCTGCTGTGATGCCTCTCTAGAGCTAGATTATTCCCCCACCTCATGTCGTATCTCGGCCGAATGTCAAGTCCATATTCTAGTTTTGTCTGTTTTACCTGTGACTAATTTTGCTGTCGTCCATCTCTTCCAGTGCCTCCATGAGCCCCCAGTGCTACTGCCCAATCTCTGCCACGCTGCCACACTCTCTCCTTGGGGTTCACTCACCAGCCTCCTCCTCAAGCCCTCACCTCACCTCAGATTCCCTCATCACACCCTGGACCCTGGATCCTGTCCCTTGACCTTTTTTCCTCTCAGTAAAATTCTCAAACTGTCCCTGTTTCTGTGATTACTGTTTTTCAAAACTGTGACAATAAGCTTTTATTTATTACATGCATTATTTTTTGTTTAAACTGCAGAATATCAATTTATGAATATAACCAAGTGCTTATAGAAAAATTTCGAAGTATATCAGGGTTAGAATTAGCTCAGATGGCCAGGTATGTAGATCTATTAGCTTAAAATGTTTATCACTAAATAGAATAGAATTCGATTTTTATCATCATTGCACAGAGTATAATGGAGTTTAGTCTGCAGCTCTTTAGTGAGCAATATTGAGGAATAAAAGAGATCAAACAAGAAGCAATGATGCAAAAAACTAACACGATATTAAATGAAATAAATAAAAAGGATAAAGTAGTAACAGCAACAGTGATATCACTCTGAGATATCTGTAAAAGGGCAATGACTGTGCAACAATTCGAGGCTCAGATTCAGTGCAGAGACCAGCAGGCAGAGAGACATCATAAGAGGCAGGAGACCTAATATGAATACTCTCACTTACAACAATAATACAGGCTGTAGTTTAAATAATAGTATAGGTTAAAGGAAAAGCCCTGAGGACATCAGTGAAGGATAATTCAATGGTTATTCAATGACTGTAAAACAATCACTGGTTAAACCACAGCAACTCATCTACTTAAGGTTACATCATGGCTGGTTATGGCGATGAT